CTTCAGCAGCAGAAGCAGGTAGTTCTTCAAGGAATCGATGAGACCAGGGTCACAGCTCCGGGGACGTGGGGTCCGCCCCTCCACATCTGGTACCTGGGCGCAGGCCCCCTCATTGCTGGTGGCCATGGTCTCTGGTGGGTGACTCTCACTGGGGGTCTCCAGCCCCAGGTGCAGTGCTGGGGCAGAACTCACCAGGGCCTGGTCCTCAGAGGGCAGGAAGGCAGCTGTGCTCCCGTGCGGAGAAGTTGGGGTGCTGCTCGTCCCCTCCTTTGGACTAGCAGTCAGCCCAGTTCCAGGAAGAGAAGGTATCGTGGGCACCTCCTGGCTCAGGCCAGCTGGAGGACAGCCACCGCGAGCCACACACAGCAGTCCCCCCGGCTGCTCCTCCTGGGAGCTCTGGAACAGGCTGCCCTCCTGCTTGGCCTCGGCTAGGCCTGACGACTGTGGCCCCCGGCCTCTCTCTCCTCCCACCTGCTCCACACTCCCCTCAAGGGGCAGCTGTGCTGGGAGCCTGAGCTTCCCTGACAGGGGACCCAGCACGCTTTGCTGGTGGTTCCTAGAGGCTGTTACTGCTGCCTCCTCAGATCCGGGCAGGAAACCAGGAGTTTCTGGGACACAAGGCCCTTCTGGGGTCTGCGCAAAACATTCAACAATCGGAGGAGCTCTGGGTCCCTCTGTAGGTGGGAGTTTGTGGGCGCTGGACGGTGGGCCAAGGCTGGTCACCGCCTCCTGCTCTGATGCACCTGCTGTGGCCGCAGGCGCGCTCCCCTGTGACTGCGTCCCCTTCTCTTCCCGTATCCTTCTGTCTTCCTGCGTGCCCTCATCTGCCTGGGACTTCCTGTCTTGCTGTATCTTCCTACCTGCCAGTGTTGCTTCCAGCTGTGTCTCTGCTCTTCCCTGTGTCACCTCGCCCTTCTGTGAAGTTCTGTCTGACTGTGGCCTCTCGCTTTCTTGTATCCCAGGGTCCACTTGCGTCTTCCTGTCTTCCCGTGTCCTGTGGGCTGTCTGTGTTCCATCTCCCCCGGTCCTTCCATCCACCTGCATCTTCCCATCTGACTGCACATTCTTCTTGCTTCCAGTTCTCTGGTAAGCAGATGTTCTCCCATCCTCCTGGGTTTCCATATCCATGGGCTCAATGATACCCTGACTTCCAGAGGTGCTACAACCGATGGAAGCTCCATCAGAGCTGCTGCTGGCCGACACAGTAGGAGCCGTGGTTGTCTGGGATTCCAGGATCTGAGAACACGGGGACAAAAGCAAGGATTTGACTACATGTGCATTAAGATCTCTTTCCAATCTGGCATCCCAGCCTCCTCTGACCTTACCCAGAACTTCTCATGGGAATCTTGCTGCCTGATTTCTCAGGCCTGCTGGAAGTTGGAAGGCAAAGGCATGTGACAAATTCCCAAAGCCCCATGCCCACCCCATCCTAATCTCTGACCTCAGAATCTGGACTGGTATCCAGACCCAGCTTGGGTCTTCCTACCTCTTTCTGATGAAATCCTGCCTTTCCTGAAAGCCCTCGCTCATGAGTTATCCCGCCCCTAACCCTGACCATTTGAAGGAGACTGTTTTCTTCCCAGGGTTCCCAGAGCAGTCCATCTGTCCTTCTCCTGTGGCACTAATTGCCTTGTATAGAATTATGGGTGAAGTGAGGGGGTGCCGAAGGGTGTTCCGATAATGGCCTCAATGGCAACACTGAGTGAGTGGTAATAACATGATGCCATCCAAACAGAGAGGGTTAAAGTAATTCTGAATGGCATCTATGCCAGGGAATTAATGAAACATTATGTTACTCTTCTGAACCTCTACTTGCAAAGCACTATGCTAGGCCCCTGTATATGATATGTATTACCCCACTTACTCCTCATACATGTGAATACTTAGGGGAATCAGCCCCATTCTAGAGATAACAATGACAAGAAGGTATGTGATCTGTCTACCGTCAGGTAGTCAGTAAGTGGCAGAGTTCAGATTCGCAGGCAGGCGTACCCTGCTCCAAATCCCATGCTCTTTGTTGTTATACTGTAATGCCACCCACATTTAAAGGACTTCCTGTCAAACATGGTGGTATACAACAGTGATTTGCCTCTTCTCCTCCAAGATATCATCAAAACTAACCAAGTAAACACGAAATAAACAAAGCAAACTCCTTTGTTAGTGAAACTGGAGGCAAATAAAACCTACAGTCTCAAAACCTACAGTCTCAAAAAACAAGCAAAAGGATAACAGCTGCCCAAAGCCGGCAGACACAGACACGGGGAAGCTGAGGAGGAGCAAAGTGATACCGGGAAACTGGGCCACAGCTCAGCGGGCAAGGAGTGACGCTGTTCAGCACGTCTCAAGACACCGGCAAGTGCACGGCTGCTGTAGACAAAGGACTCATCCTGAGGCGATAAACCCCTTAAGTTCACGGACAGCAAGAGCTGCAGGGTCATGGAGGCCTGGGTGGAAATCGGCCAAAGACACGGGGAGCTGAGCAGAGCAGACAGGGAGAGGAGATGGAATGGCAGAGGCAGACCTCAGAAAACACCGGCAGCTACACTCCTGAAGAAACCGCCAGAAAATTGCTAGGCTAAGAACATTGTGTCTTAGCATACAAGGACTAAGGGAATATTGTTCCCATGAGCTCTGCTTGAGGAAACCACCAAGGAACAAATGTAGTTAACCAAGAGATGATTGACGAAATAACAGCAAAAGAGCTGATGGCAAGCACTGAATGTACTTCACTTATATTAACATACATACACGCATATTGACGCGTAACTGTAGAAGCAAGACTAAAATCAAGTGGGGTTCAGAATGGCAAATCAGAATGTCAACATTCTATGCCCTGATGATACAGAAACAACACAACCAGCACAAAAGTGGAAAGGGGAAGAAAATACCAAGTGAAGTCACTTCCTTGACTGTGTCACCTGCAAGAGCCAGGCATCAAAGACATTACTCAAAGGTAAAGAACCAACTAACAGAAATACAGGATATTCACCTGTACAAAGATAATTACTTAGAAATCAAACTTTAGGCTAACATGAGATAGAAGATGAGTAAAGAAAAGGCGGGGAAGAAGTGAAACACTTTATCATTTTTCATCATAAAAAATTAATAGAAACAGTGAACAGATGAAATAATTAATGGTATTATATAAAACTGAAATAATAACATATACATATTTTTAGATACCAGAACTGCACACAAAATCAAAGCAATCGGTTCCCAAAAGACTTTTTTTTTTTTTGAGATGGAGTTTTACTCTGTCACCCAGGCTGGAGTGCAGTGGCATGATCTTTGGCTCACTGCAATCATCGCCTCCCAGGTTCAAGCGATTCTTCTGCCTCAGGCTGAGTAGCTGGGACTACAGGCATGCGCCACCATGCCTGGCTAATTTTTATATTTTTTGTAGAGACAGGGTTTCACCATATTGACCAGGCTGGTCTTGAACTTCTGACCTCATGATCTGCCTGCCTTGGGCTCCCAAAGTTTATGCCCACGGCCAGCCTAAATGAAATACTTTTAAATAAACATAATTAAAATATATGTAAATTAAGTGTAGAATTTAAAGTTACTTTACTAAATTAGGAATTTTCTGTTTTTTAAATTTTTAAATTTTAAATTGATTTTATATTTTAAAATTAGAGATGGGGTCTTGCTATATTGGCTAGGGTAGTCTCAAACCCCTGGCCTCAAGCAGTGTTCCCACCTCAGTCTCCCAAAGTGCTAAGATTATAGGTGTGAGCTACTGCACCCCAGCCTAAATTCAGAATTTCAAATGAATGGTATGGATGTGGGAAAAATTAAAGAGTTTGGTGAATGTCAGGAATGAGTCTGACTGAAGAATTTTTTTTTTGAGACAGATTCTTGCCATCTTGCCCAGACTGGCGTGCAGTGGCTATTCACTGGCAGGATCACAGCCTCAACTTACTGGGCTCAAGTGATCCTCCTGCCTCAGCCTCCCAAATAGCTGGGACTATCAGCTGACTGAAGAACCTTTTTTTTTCCTTTTCAGATGGAGTCCCACTGTGTTGCCCAGGCTGGAGTGCAGTGGCACGCTCTTGGCTGATTGGAACATCTACCTCTCGGGTTCAAGTGATTCTCCTGCCTTAGCCTCCTGAGTAACTGGGATTACAGGCATGTGCCACCACACCCAGCTTATTTTTGTATTTTTTAGTAGAGATGGGTTTCACTATGTTGGCCAGGCTGGTCTTGAACCCCTGGCCTCAAGTGATCTACCCGCGTTGGCCTCCCAAAGTGCTAGAATTATAGGTGTGAGCCACTGCACCCGGCCTAACTAAAGAATCTTAAAAAAATGCTCTTTAAAGTTCTCTGACAGCCAGATATTAACAGACAAAAATGTCTTGGTGCCAACAAAAGTAATTAGTAATATATTAGAGCCTTCTTTTTCATCTTTTGATATTCTAGAATTAGAAAATATTAATAAAGACATAAGATCTACAGATCTATTAAGAAGGTGCAGACTATGCATATAAGCCCATTGCTGTTCACAAGACTCATGGAAATCGAACTTCTTGATTAAAGCTATGCTCACCCCTAACCCACTCTCGGCCAGATCAATCCCTCAGTGCTATGGAACCTACTTCTTCATTATCTTAATATCTGTCTCCTTCATCGCCACTGCCAACTGCCTAAGCGGAGCTGCCAAAGACAGAACTTGGACTTGCCTGGACTACCGTGAAACCTAATTGGTATCCATGACTCTGATCTTGGCCTCTGCTAAACTCTTTTCCTCACTGCAGCCCGAGAGACCTTTCCAAAACACAAACCTGACCGTAACAATCCCCTGCTTAAAAACCTCTCAATGGCTTACCATCACTGACAGGATAAAGCCTAAAGCCCTAGCTTCAAAGAGCAAAAAGTTGAATTAGACAGTAGCCCCTTCTTATTCACGGTGTTGCTTTCCCTGGTTTCAGTTAACTGTGGCCAATCCTGGTCTGAAAACATTAAATGAAAAATTCCAGAAATAAACAACTGATACATTTTATAGGTCATTTCAAAGCGGCTATGAAACCAAGAGCTCTTAACACTGTGACCAAAGATGCAAGTTCTCTACAGGGTGCCATGGCACTCGATGGCGCTATGTGTTCCTGGGGAGATATAAGACTTAGGAATTACATGACACAGTAATCCATGATTGCTGCCTTGGGAGGGTTTTAAAGATTAACCAAAGTAAAAAGCAAAAGCAAATGATAAACTTGGTGCTGTTCTGAGCAGCATGATGAAATCTCATGCCCCCCACCCCTGGGATGTGAAACAGCCTTTTGTTCAGATAGCCACAAGGTATACACTGGGCTGCCCACTACCCATGAAGTAGCCATCTCAGTTATCAGATCAACTGTCCTGGTATCTCAGGGCTTGTGTGCAAGTAACCATTATTTTACTTAATAAATGGCCCCAAAGCTCAAGAGTAGTGATATCAGTATATGATTACAGTTGTTCTATGTTATAATTAGTTACTGTTGTTAATCTCTTACTGTGCCTAATTTATACATTAAACTTTATCACAGGTTATGTATGTATAGGAAAAAACACTGTGTGTGTGTGTGTGTGTGTGTGTGTGTGTGGTTTGGTACTATCTGCAGGCTCAGGCATCCACTGGGGATCTGGGAAGGTATTTTCTGTGGATAAGGGGACAGCTGTATTCTCCTTGCTAGGGTTACAGGCATCGCACAGCCTCTACAGACAGCAATTTGGCATTATTTATTATACTAAAAATACTTATACTCAGCCAGGTGTGGTGGCTCACACCTCTAATCACCTCTAATTCGAGCACGTTGGGAGGCCAAGGCAGGCGGATCACAAGGTCAGGAGATTGAGACCATCCTGGACAACATGGTGAAACCCCATCTTTACTAAAAAACAAAAGCTGGGCATGGTAGTGCGCACCTGTAGTCCCAGCTACTACGGAGGGTAAGGCAGGGGAATCACTTGAACCAGGGAGGCAGAGGTTGCAGCAAGTGGAGACTACACCACTGCACAGCCTGGGCAACAGAGCAAGACTCCATCTTAAAAAAAAAAACAACTTATACTCTTTAACCCAAAAATTCCATTCCTAGGAATTTATCGTACAGGAATACTTTCATGTGCAGATGGACTTATATACAAGGATATGTACTACAGCATTGTTTATGTTTACAACAGCAATAGATTAGAAATCACCTAAATTCCACCAATACAGGACTGATCCAGTGAATTATAGTATATCCGTATTCCAAATAAATAAAACAAATATCCAAATAAAAAAGGAAGGTAAAGGACGGAAAGTATAATATGATATGCAACCTCTGTGTGGAAAATACACAGTCACACACACATATTTGCACTTGATCTTAGCCAAAAGGCCGAGAAGCGATGCAATTGTAAAGAAAATAGCTCTGGAAGGATGCCCAAGAAACCAGCTTTGGCAACTGACTTCAGGAAGAGGACCTCAGCTGCAGGGATAGGGAAGGTGGGAGGCTTAATATTCTCTATATACCTTTTCTACTTCTTGAATTTTATACATTGTGCACGTGACACATGTTTAACAAAAATGCAATTAAAAATGAAAATATATAAGGAAGTAAACCCTTGTGTGATCAGTGAGGCCTGTCCCTCAGCGAGAGTCCCAGGTCTGTCTCTCCAGCTTCATCTGTTGGGTCCCTCCACCCAACACTAACTTAACTGTACTGACAACTGTGCCATTTTATAATTCCTTTTTGTATTTTTAGACATTCTCACCTTTCTTCTTCCTCACCTCAAGGACTCCTTCTCAACCCTGAAGACCTCATTCGAGTTTCTTTTCTTCTTTAAAGACTTCCTGAGTTCTCTACCCCGAAAAACGTTAGTGGCCCCCATAGCAAATGTACCTACTTCCATCATTATATTCCCATTCTGTGTTATTTCATGCATATGGTAGTTACTTATTTCATGTGTATGTCACTTGCTAATCTGTGAACTCTTCCCCTCTGAAGAGGGCCCAGTACAGGCCTAGGAGTGGCAAATCAATAAATATATGGTGGATGACTGGCTATTCTCTGTACACTTCTACAAGGGCTGACCCCTCTAACTAAACATTATGGGGGAGAGGGTGTGTGTCTGTGTGTGTGTGTGTGTCTGTTTGTGTGTCTGTGTGAGTGTGTGTGCATGCGCGCGCGCTCTTGTTGCCCAGGCTGGAGTGCAATGACATGATCTTGGCTCACTGCAACCTCCGCCTCCCAGCTTCAAGCGATTCTCCTGCCTCAGCCTCCTGAGTAGCTGGGATTACAGACATGCACCACCATGCCTGGCTAATTTTAGTAGAGATGGGGTTTCTTCATGTTGGTCAGGCTGGTCTCCAACTCCCAACCTCAGGTGATCCACCTGCCTTGGCCTCCCAAATTGCTAGGATTACAGACATGAGTCACCACGCCTGGTGGAATATCATATATTTCTTAAAAATAAACATGGTGTGAGTGGACTGAACCTAGCTGGCTCTATGTAAGCTTTTTTACTACAAGGAACGTTAGTAGGTTTAATTTGCCATCCTGTCTCTCCCTCTTCCCTCATAAATTCTCAGATATTAAGGACCCAGTCTATGGCCAGGTATGGTTGCTCATGTCTATAATTCCAGCGCTTTGGGAGTCCATTGCAGGAGAATTGCTTGAGGCCAAACGTTCAAAACCAGCCTGGCAACACAGCAAGACCCTGTCTCTACAAAAAAAAATAAAAAATAAAAAATAAAAATTAGCCAGGTGTGGTGGCATATGTCTGCAGTCCTAGCTACTCTGGTGGGAGGACTGCTTGAGCCCAGGAGTTCGAGGCTGCAGTAAGCAATGATCACACCACTGCACTCCAGCCTGGGCAATAGAGTAAGACCCTATCTCTGAAAATAAAAACATAAAAATTTTAAAAGAAAGTTTTATTCACCTTGGCGTCCTTCACAGTGCCAAACACATAGGAGGCTCACAGGAAAGAACAACTGAATGAAAAGTAGTATGGTTTATAACCCTCTAAGGGGGCATGGCCCCAGAGTGCTGGCTTCGGGGGGCAAGGGACAAAACCAGGACCTTAACTGGGATGGGCGGGGCAGTCATTTTTTGCATAAGTTTTGGTAGTTTGTAATTTTTAAAGAATTGCTCTATTACATCCAAGTTGTTAAACTGATGTGCAGTTTTTCATAGTAGCCCCCCTCCTTTTTTTTGCCCTTTCAATCCTTACAGGGTCCACAGTGATATCCCTGCTTTCATTCTTAATACTTGTATTTTTTGTCTTTTTTTTTCTTTGTAAGTCTTGCCAGAGGTTTATTGATATTAGCGATCTTTTCAAATAACCAGCTTTGGGTTTATTTTCTCCATAGTTTTCCTGTTTTTAGTTTCATTATTTTCTGTTCTTTTCTATCTGTTGCTTTGGGTTTATTTTTCTCTTTTTCCAAAAAGTTGTCTAAGGTGGGAACTTAGGTTGTTGATATTTCAGATCTTTTTTCTTTTCTAATATAAACATTTTAATGCTATACATATTCCTCAAGGAACTGATTTAGCAGCATCCAACATTTTGGTATGTTACATTTTCACTTTCATTCAATTTAAAATGTTTTCTAATTGCCCTTAGGACTTGTTTCTTGGCCCATAAAAGTATCTTCTTTAATTTAAAAGTGTTTGAAAATTTTCCTATTATCTTTCCACCATTTATTACCAGTTTAATTTCATTTTGGTCAGAGTGCATACTTTGCATTACTTCAATTATTTCACATTTGTTAAGATTTACATATTATGACCCAGAATGTGATCTATTTTGGTGAATATTTTATATGCGCTTAAAAAGAATATTCAGTTGTTACATAAAGTATTCTATATATGTCTACTAGACAGGGTTGGTTGATAATGCTGTTCAGTTCTTTTATATACTTACTGATTTTCTGTCTACTAGTTTCTATTGATTACTGAGAGAAAGGAGTGTTAAAATCTCCAACTATAATTGTTGTTTTGTCTATTTCTCCAGCTCTGTCAGGTTTTGCTTCATATATTTTGAAGGTATGTTGTTAGGTGCATACACATTTTTTATTGTTATGTCTTATTGAATTGACCCTTTTATCATTAGATAGTTCACTATTTTTCCCTTAGTAATTTTCTTTGCTCAGAAGTCTATTCTGTCTGATATTAATATGGCAATTCCAGCTTTCATCTGATAAGTGTTTACAGGGCATAAATTTTTCTATTATTTTACTTGTAACTGACCTATATCATCATATTTGAAGAGGATTTCTTTTTTTTTTTTTTTCCTTTTCTTGCCCCACTTCTCAGTATGAAGAGGATTTCTTATCAACAGCATAGAGTTAGGAAAGTTTTTCTGGTTCTGTCTCACAATCTGTCATTTAATTGATGTTCTTAGACCATTTATATTTAATATAATTATGTATATGTCTAGATTTTGGTAAATCATTTTATTATTTGTTTTCCATTTGTTTCCTGTTTATCCTTCCTGTGTTTCCCTGTTCTTGCCTTCTCTGAGATTAGAACATCTTTTAGTATTCCACTTTAACTTATATAGTTTGATTCTTACTGCATCTCTTTGTACAGTATTTCTGTTGTTGCTATAGGGCTTATAATATATACACCTAACTTTATTATACTTTACCACTTCAAGTGCCATGCAGTAATCTCACCACCATATAGGTCTCTTTGTCCCGTTATGTTGTATTTGTCTTATATATTACATTTGTATACATTTTTTTAAAATGTCTGGCAGACAATTTTTTTTTTTTTTTTTTTTTTTTTTTACTTTTTACCTTCAAACATATTGCAAAGAAATCAAGATGAAATAATCTATTATATTTACAAGGGTATTTACCATTTCCATTGCCCTTCCTTCATTCTTGATATTTCAAGTTTCCTTCTGGTATCATTTCCTTTCTGTATGAAAAATTTACCTTAGCAACTCTTTTTTTATTCGTTTTTTGTTTGTTTGTTTTGGTTTGGTTTTTTGTTTGTTTTGTTTTGTTTTCTTTAGACTGAGCCTGGCACTGTCACCCAGGCTGGAGTGCAAGGGCATGATCTCAGCTCACCACAACCCCTGCCTCCTGGCTTCAAGCGATTCTCCTGCCTCAGCCTCATGAGTAGCTGGGATTAAGGTGCCTGCCACCACACCTG